AGAGGATTTTCTAGGTGTTGAGTTAATATTTACTTTAGTCAATATAGGATTGAGGATATCCGCTGTTGGGATAACCACTCAGTCTTAAGCTCAGGTGTTTTTATTTAGCCTAGTCTAGGCTGCTGTGAAGATAATGTGAAGTGGGATAATTTGTTCACTTTGGGGAAAAGATAGGTCACAGATGAGGATCGGAAAGTGAGGAATGACGTTATTTGGTTTCTTCTGAACCGTACTTTGCTTTTGATCTAGGTAGCCCGGTCCATGGTGCATTTTGTATCTGGTTTCACGTGCAGGTTATTTTGCATAGATCTTGTTTTAAAAGCCTTTTCATGAAAAGAGGAAAACTATGCACAAGCCACAATTTCTGCAGGCAGATAGCAGTGTAAGCAACATGCAAAGGACATTGAGTACCGGTTAGCTGGCTCATTATACTTAAAGAGTCTTTTCTCAGGTTTCCTTTATAGTCTCAGAAATAATGTTAGAGCTTCCCTGATTTGGGTTTTTTTTTAAAAAAAATTGCACTTATCTCACCCTTGGATTTTGAAGCTTTTCATATTGAAAGTTCTTCCTTTTGCAAGGATTTTTCTTCTTCCTTTCAGATACAGATTTGACGTTGGTCATTGGTGCTAACGATACCGTGAACTCTGCAGCACAGGAAGATCCCAACTCCATCATAGCCGGCATGCCTGTATTGGAAGTTTGGAAATCTAAACAAGTAAGAGACAACAAGAAGCTGAGAGCACAGGGTTGTGATGGCTTCTTCATTAGAGCAAAGAGTACCTAACACGCAACGTGAAAAGGAAGGGGTCTTTGTCCCCAAATACGAAAATGTTGCCTTCACTACAGTACAGGGTATTATTATGATACTTGTGTTGATGTCATCAAATCCTCCAATTGACACAAGGTGTAATTTCTCTGGAAGAAGGAATTACTCTAGAGTCTAAGGGGCAGCGCAACAGAAAGTCTGCAAGTTTGCTAGAGTCAACAGTCATGTTGCCTGGGAAATGAGAGCTGAACTCAAAGACCTCAGAAAAAGAGCAACTTGGAAAGTAAGATGAGGATATTTGATTAGACAATAATCTAAATGAGGATGTTCTGCTATCTGTTATTGGGAGAATCTGAAAAGCTCTCTAGAAGATTTGCCAGTATAATAAGTAAGATTTTGCATTTGTCAGCAATGCATTGATCCACCATATGTCCTTATGACTAAATGGTGACGGTCTTTTGCTAAGCAGTAGGATCTGAAATATTGCAATTTTAGTATTTAAGTTATGAGGAAGAATTGAGGGGGGGAATAGGCTTAGTCATGAAAGAAGATGATTGATGGGGTATAGGAGAGTTGGAAGGTGTAGGTGAAGACCTGTTTTTCATCATCCCAGAACAATGTAGTTAAATTACAGGAAGGCAGGTTCAGGTTGAATATTAGAGGGGAAAAATTCCAGTATAAATTCCTAATGGTAAGAGCAGTTCAACCCTGGAACCAATTACCAAAATCATCTGCTTGGAATGATTTAATTGACATTAATTTAATTCAATTTAATTTAAATCCTGCCCTGGCAGGAGTTTGGACTCAGCCCGATAGTCTCTTCCAACTTTTTATGATTTTATAATATTATATGTGAATTTCTGCTTCATTCTTACCCCAGTGAAAAATCTACAGACTTCGGTTAAAAGTCTTTTCTGCATAGTCTTGCAGTGGTGCTGGTGTAAAACCGCATTGGAAGAAGGCAGACTATATTTTTAACTAGCTTTTTTGAATAAAGGCAAGAAACAGTTGAACTCACTCTTACTATGTCCTTTGGTTTCTCCACCAGGTCATTGTCATGAAGCGCACCCTGGGAGTTGGATACGCTGCAGTCGACAACCCCATTTTTTACAAGCCAAACTCTTCGATGTTGCTTGGAGACGCAAAGAAAACCTGTGATGCTTTACAAGCCAAAATTCGAGATTCTTATAGCCATTAGTGCGTCCAGTCATTCTAAGGCATCATCCAGTGATAAAAGCGTTATTATGTACCTTTTTAATTTGATTGTGTTGATTGAAGACCTTGAAATAGACGGAACCTTTAACTGGCTGGTGCCCATTATTTGCATCCTTTGAAAATGGACATAATCTTTTATGTATATACATTGTCAGAAAGATAAATAGGAGAATCTAACTCATGTGAGAAGTGAGTGGTTTCTGTGTCTTTATACTGGGTGAAAATTCCATCCATCCATCCTTCCATCCATCCTATAATCAACTTGTTTCTCTAACGTTGCTATGACATTTGCAACTCCCACAATAAGAGACAACTGATAATTCCTGGGCCAGATGTGGTCCTGTGGAGAGGACATTCCATCACCAAAGAGAAAGATCTTGTGGAGGAAGTGGTGGCTATGGATCTAGGGTCTGTCTGCTCTAGGGTGCAATAATGATAGCTTGTGAAGAAATAAATGGCAGGATGGTCAATCAAAGGACAGCAACGGACGGGCTTGGAGAAGAGAAATGTGGGAAGTGAGAGTTGAAGAAGAGATCCGAGGTAAGCTTCAGAGTGTAAGACTGGTAATACTTCTGTTAGGAAGAGAGGTTAGGAATAATATTAAGATGGAGTTAGGCTAGTACTGATGGGATAAAAGCAATTTGTCGTAACAAGTGTACCTGGATTAAAATCATATTATGAAGTTTTTTTTAAAAAAATAAATCCTTTGTTCCTATGTTAACCATGGATCTATGCTGTCCTACAGCAAATTTTCCCCACTTGATAATATCACCTTGCAGGTTTGAAGAATTTACAGAGCCGTGGGAAAAGAAGATAACAACATAAAACAGATTAACAAGCAGATTGTGGGACACAACCTGGTCTGCAGTTTGGCATTGCTTTTCAGCATAACACTGACTTCTGAAGTGAGCAAGGCATGGTATGAATTCAGAGAAGTAAGGACCCGTCATTTCAACCCTGAAATAGTCTCCTTTATGGGAAATTAGGGAAATCTCAAAGCCGCTGGGTGAATTAAACTTACAGATTTAATGGCATGTCTATCCTGGGCTAGGCACCAAATCTCTCTTCTCTTCCTCCTTTCCTTTCCAATTCTTTAAAAAAAAAAACTTTTGGCAAAGCGCAAACCCTTGGCATCCCGGGTGACTATTCCTATCTGTATATCCGAATATGCTGTTCTGAGTTATCAGAATTTGATTGGTGCTGGGATTTAAAACAAAAACCCTAAAATCTATTCAACGTTTGTTTATTACATAAACAGTTTCTCTGACTCTACTTCTAAATAATTTACAAATGTTTCGAGGAAATAAGATCCGGAAGACACTGTGAATGTCTTTCGGAGTTAGATTATCGTTAACACATGGAGGAAGACGTCATTTTGCGATAGGAGTGGAAATGTTCCCTGTTAAGTATAATCCAGCATTTTTTTTTTAAAAAAAGCAACTTTGGCAGAAGAATTCAAAGTGTTCTTGTTTAGCAACTCCGAGATGAAACTCTCAGGAAAAACCAGAATGCATTGAATGGAAGCGGCCTTCATCATTGCACAAAGCCATGATGCCCTTCTCTTGACGGTAGAAATAAGTAATAATATAACTAAGGACAATAAAAGCATTTTCACTTTTTTGGTTTATTAAACAGATGACTCTGAAGGATATTTATCATTTGAATTGTTACATATGCAGCTTTGTAGAACATGTATGATTTAAGATGCACGATGCATCCTCCAATGAGCTTTATTGTAGCTTCTATGCATGTTTGATTGCAGCTACGTTTATGCACTGGAGTGAGAAAGGAATGTGTCTTCTGCCTTGAACTTCGGAAATTGTTATTTTGCTGCAGGTCCCAATCTTAGGAACAAACGATATGCTCCTGTGCAAAGAAAAGCATTAAAGACCAATCCCTATGCTGGCTTCCATAAATAAAGTAGAAATTTAGAAAGGACTGTAATATCTACCAGTATTAAGCAAGATAACAAAAGGTATCTTCTAGACCTCGCAGATAAACTATCTGCAAGCTTTAATCAAGACTGCCAATTTTTGATGGCACAAGTTTCACTTTTTTAATATTAAGCATAACAGGTGCGTTGATTTCCCATAAATTGTATTGTGGTCATTAAAAAAAAACTCACAAAGTAAGGAAATGTTAGTCCTGTCCCTTATAGGTTGGGAAACACCCTTCCCCATCCTCCAGAAACTAATCTATCTCTGGTAGAGAAATATGACCTTTTTCTGAAGCGTGTATGCAGCAAAAGAAAGCACTACATAAAACAAGGCTGGCTAGGGAATTCTGGGAGTTGAAGTTCACAGGTCTTAAACTAGCCAAGGTTGGACACCCCTGCTTTAGAAGGAAACCTTGGTTCAGATCTATAAGCAATCAGTAGTGGAACATATTTAAGCAATTTGGCAATTTAATTCAGTCCTAATCGTGTTCACTGTTAGCATCGAGCTGAATATTTTAGTCTGGCTTCCCTTTGGAGGTGGAATTGGGAGGTGAAACGAAGTAATTCTAATAATTTTTAATAGGTAGTAAAATCACTAAGAGTCTTCCTTGATAGTCCAAAGAGTAACCCTGCATAATGAAACTAACAAATGAAGTTTCTGCTAACTTTAAATACAAAATTCAAGCTGGCCATTTTGTTGTTCAACAAATTAAAAAAAAATAATTCTATTTAGATGCCACAAGTCCAGCTGTCATGTGTCTGATTAACGAAACACTTAAAAGGACTTTCAGGCATATTTTCCCCCTAAAAGCATTTATTAAGGTTACAGAGATGTCAGTACGGCATGGTGGAAATGCTTAGATCTGAGATTATTTTCCGTTGCACCTACATTCCAGGCATTTTTCCCTCCCCTATTCTGGGGTCATGGTTCACATCTTCCAATTAACTTGGAAGATGTGATTTACTTCCCGTTTCTTTTTCCCAGGCTTTCCTTATTCTCCTCCCTTTCACTGTTGCCTGATTTAACTATAAAAATACCAGACAGTTCTGCATATTGTCAAAGCAAGAATATACAGTATTTGCAGCGTTGACACCAGCTTTGTTTTGGATAGTCTTCCCTTAACAGCTGTAAGTTTTGCCTGTAGAAGTTTGGATTTAGTTTAAATTTAAAAGACAGCAACTGTAAGCCTTCTATCTTGTAAATCCATTTCAGTCATTCGAATCTTAATTATATAGTTTAAAGGACTGATTTTAAAGGGTAATGGATCACAGTTCCTTTTGGGACATTTGCATGAGGAATGCTTCACTTTTTCCCTGCAGAATCCTTGGCTTTCCTGATCAGCTTGTACATAAACGAGAAGAAGAAAAGCAAATTGTCGTATTGTCCGTCGTATTTTTCTTTTAAGACCTCCTTGTGATAGTCTACTAGAAAGTAATAAATTGCTTCAATGGTAGAGAGGTAAGTCTCTGGTTTCCCTTTCTGATGGCGCCAAAAGCAGGTTTTCCTAGATTTCAGTTCGATTTGTAGCAACCCTGCAGAGTGAAAAACAAAACAAAAACAAAGATGATAATGTAGGCATTTAATTACACAAAAGAATGAAAAAAAACCCCCTACTTGTGGCTAATTGCTAACAGGTTTCTCCAAAGCATTACACACAAGGATAAGCTTTAAGACATATTCAGTCAGATTTATACAGTAATTTCCATTATATTTTCAAAATATGACTAGATAAGTCATCTCTTTTCTCTCTTTCCTGAAATGTCACAGTATCTGAGTGGAGTACAAAAAATGTTCTATACAGCGTTGCAGTGTACTAGTTTTAGAAAAGCAAATCTTTTGGAAGAAAAATAAGAGTAGAGAGGAGGTATTTATTCCCGGTAATAGCTCTCTATTATATCTAGAACAGTGATGGCGAACCTTTTAGAGACCGAGTGCCCAAAAACTGCCCCCCCACTCCCGTCCCCGCTCTGCCCTGCCCACTGGGTCACCCACCACCTCCAAGGCCTGCCACAGATCACCCAGGCAGCCCAGCAGCGCCATGGCGGCCATGCCCTCCGCCCGTGCCCCGCAGCATCATCTGCGCGCAACGGGGTGCAAGGGCGGAGTCTTGTCCCCGCTGCCCAGCTACCATGTCCTTGGCTCCGCTGCTTTGTGTGGGCCGCACCCAGGGGCAACTCTCCTCCGGGGGGGGGCTGCTGGTGAGGAGGGGGCCGTGGGAGGAGGTGTGGCTGGGCTCCGAGTGCTGCCTCTGGCACCCGTGCCATAGGCTCGCCACCACTGACCTAGAACAATTCCCAAGATTCGTTTCCATTCATAAAAATAATACCTTGAAGCCGCTCATCTGTGATTATCTTGTTTGTTTGATTCCACGTGCTGTCGATAAATACAATTTTTTTCAGTGCATTTCCGCTCTTGGGCAATTTATCTTCACTCATGATGCTACTGTGGCTTGGGTCCCACTTTGCAGACTTGGGTGCTGGTTCTGCCAATAAGCCCTTGGTATCCGTCTTACATTTTGCTTGTAAAGAGAGAGGAATGTTGCTTATTGGAACTGAATTAGGTCCAGGAAAAATAAGTGCAATCTAAAAAAATGGGGCGAAAAAACCTTCATGAGATCTAATCTCAGCCACAAGGCTATCCCTATTTTCCCCAGTGAATCTGCTTTAAAATTGTGCTTCCACCAGTATTTATGAAAATACAATCTGGGTAACATTTACTAACATCAGCATTTAAGCAAATATGAGAAAATGTTAAAACCCTGCAGAACTTGATTTCATCAAATAGGCCGACATGCTGATCCACGCTCTTGCAGTACTCCCATGCCATTGCTGATTATGAATATAGGCAATCTTCGGCTTTCGACTACAACTGAGCCCCATTTTACGACTTTTCTTGCCAGTTGTTAAGCGAGTCACTGCAGCTGTTAAGTGAGTAATATGATTGGTAAGAGAATCTAGCGTCCCTTGCTTGTCAGAAGGTCACAAAAGGAGATCACTCCAGGACAATGCAACTGTCATATAGCCAGTTGCCAAGCATCTAAATTTTAATTACGTAACCATGGGTATGCTGCAACAGTCATTAGGAGTGAAAAATGGTCATAAGTCCCTTTTTCAGTGTCATTATAATTCTGAATGGTCACTAAATGAACTGTTGTTAAGTTGAGGACTACCTGTATTCCCCTCTTGTCATCTTGCCTTTAGGCCATCTGTACAGGTGGTCTTCTCTTACTGACCACAATAGGAACCAGTGACTCCATCGCTAAGGGGGTCATCAAATGCCACATCCCATGATTGCGAATAGCGATTTCCTGCTGGCTTTCCCATTGACTTTGCTTTTTGGAAACTGCCTGTGGGGCTGTTGTAGATGCGTGCTGGCCCCAGAGACACTGGGCAAGGGCCGCAACTTTTGAGGACCAGTTGTAAGTCACATTTTCAACAGGGTTGCTGAACAAGTGCTTGGTAAGCGAAAACTACCTGTACTCTCGGGGAAATTCTTGCAGAAATGGTTGTACTCTAAAAGTAAATCAAAAAGTGATTCTGTGAATACAACTAAGCAATAATAAGTCCTGCTACAGGAATTCCGGGACAAATACACTGTTTATTTGCTCTCGTACGTGAAAAACAATGCTAAACACAGTGTATATTGAACAGCTACAATCACAAGAAGCAACGGGTGGAAACTAACCAAAGAGAGAAGCAACCTAGAACTAAGGAGAAACTTCCTGACAGTTAGAAAAATTAACCAGTGGAACAACTTGCCTCCAGAAGCGGTGGGTGCTCCAACACTGGAAGTTTTTAAGAAGAGACTGGACAGCCATTTGTCTGAAATGGTATAGGGTTTCCTGCCTGAGCAGGGGATTGGACTTGATGACCTCCAAGATCCCTTCCAACTTTATTATTATTATTATTATTATTATTATTATTATTATTATTATTATTATTATTATTATTATTATTCAGTGAAAAACAAAAGGTTTTCCTACAATGCTACATATAAACAGACTCTTACTTCATGTTGCATTTCTTCATAGTCAGGAATACACGGATATGTATAAATGGTAACATCTTCAGATGCCAGAAGCTTGGCATGTACAGCTGTACTTTTGCCATCCGTTTCATTGGGATGCTTAATTATATCAATCTTCAAGGGAAGCTTAAACAAAGAACCCAGAAAGTGTGTCAAAGAGACACCCCCAAATTCAACCATAAATATATAAATTTGCTCAACCATGCATTCGACTCTGGCTATTGAAGCATGATACATGATTTGCACCGGTTACAATTGCAATTTTCAGCAAAATAAACAGCGGGAAAGAACAAAGATATCATGAAACTGAATAATATAATTAAAAAGAATTATATTACTTAAATTTGAATTACTTAAATCAAAGGGTGCCTTTGGGTAGACATCTTTTCCATCATCTTGTACAGCAAGAGTGGGGAATTATGGCCCCTTTAGGTCCTGTGGACTTCAACTCCCAGAATTCCTGAACCAGCATGTTGTAAATGCGTGCTGACCCCAGGGATGCTGCAACAGCTGCAACTTAGTTAAGCCCTGAAAAACATGGTTGGCTCAGGAATTCTGGGAGTTGAAGTCCACAGGTCATAAAGGGGCCATACCAGTAGTTCCCCACCCGTACTGCAGAGATGCCAAGGTTTGGGCAGGAATCTTGGCTAGGAAAGATATCCAAGTAGCACTGGGCTACTGTGACCTGTTTTTCTTTCACTACAGCAGCTTTATGGTTATGGGACTTATTATGAAGCTTGGCACAAAAGACAAGATTAGGTTAAACTCCACCTTTATCTATTTCATCTAGTAAAATTACTTGCTGGGAAATTTGACATAAAATGATCAAAGAACACTGTGATCTTCCCCTCCTTAGATCCCCTGTACTAACCTTCACAATAGGAATATCTTCAACAGGGACAGTTTCAACCGGAACATAACATGAATAGCAGTAGAACATCCTTGAGCTGTGACATCTGGGGCATTTGGATCTTCCTTGTTTTTGGGCTCTCTCAAGAACAGCTTGAGATGTCAGACACAAGTTGTCAAACGGGGTTTCTTGTAACATGGATGCGGCTGGCGTGCCTTGATTTAGCAAACACTCAGCATTTCTCTTCATTTCCTGGTTTATCTTGATCTGCTTTTTTAATGGAAGATGAATTTAATGATATATTTCAGATGAATGATATCCTTGGAACT